TTTTTTTTTTTTTTTTTGACAATTTGCTTTTTCAGTTTTTTAGAGCCATTGTAATTTATCATACGCTACAGTTGAGAGATTCATATTTGTTGTATCTTTTGTCTCAAAAGTAAACAAAGAGGCCATTAAGTATAGAAGATCTGACTACCCCTTCAAAAATGTGTCTCATTTAACATTCATTTACAGTTCTCAATCTGTTATTGGTGTATTTTTTTCAGTTCTAATGTTGTTTTGTAATGAATGTAACAGTTCGACAACTGTTTTTGGGAAGTCCTTCAGAATGTCGTAGAACAGTTAAAGAACAGCTTTCATTAAAAGAGAAAAACTTTATGTTCTAGGACAGATTAAGAACCCTAAGACCGCATTCAAAACGATTTGAGCCAGGCTTTACAAATCCTGAGACTAAATATGGCGGGCGTACATGAAAGGAAAACCGCCCAATCTTTTAATAGTCTCTCCGCCTCTCACACGCCTCCCCACACGTCGTCCCTGCGGGGTGCAGTCATTAAATCTCAACTCGTTTGCACATAAAGATTGGGCTTCGACGGTGCTGGGGTCTAGGTGTGGCGCTCATTGCAATGCATCCTTGTCCAAAATTGGCAAAATTAAAAGCTTATTATCTACCATACGGAAGGAATTATAGGAAAATTTTTCATAGACGGCTGACCAAAAGTCATATGTGGCGATTTCAAGTATGCCCTTGGATTTGATCTTTATTTCAAAGTGAAACGGGCCAAAATTTTGGAAAAGAAGTAATTTTTTACGAAAAAAATTATTTGCGCTATAAATTCAGAAACTTTCATTGGAATTTTGAATGTCAAACGTACATTTACATGTAATTCATTCCGCCACAATACCACTTTATACCTACGGGACGCAGAAAGGATGCCCTCCAGTGTAAAGGGGGCTTTAGATGTTATTTATTAAGCATTGCAGTAGAAATTTCGAAACTTGGTGGCAATACAAATCTGTTTAGAATGGCAGATGCAGGCTATGTAACGTCTTTCGCGAGACCTTAATCACATTTTGCATGTCAAAATTCTACTTAAAATCTTAATTCTATTTAAGGTCTATTTAAGATCTTGCCGTGCGTGTGTTTGTAATGAATGGGATTTAACAGAATTATTGTCTTATACTGTTACCAACATAACAAACATTATATTATAAAATATTTACTTCTCTGTTTCAGTCACGCCGGTGGTTATGACGAAAATGTCGTCCTGAATGTTATCAAACGCGCGATAAACAACCACCGGATGAGAAGGGAATATTATGGCCCATTTTGTCCACCATGTTGTCCACCTTACTGTCGTAAAATGTGAGTAGTGATTGCTCGAATAGATCTAGGAGCCACCAAACTTTTGGTGGGTCGCAGAACAGAGACACACTTCGCATTTAGAGTTCAAGACTCGATCTGTATTGGCTGGGTTTTGAATTGAACACACAATAGTTTTCTTTATAGGCATTCATTCATTCAAACATCATTTATTCTTTATTTTGAAATTATATCATTCATTGGACATTATAGAATTATACCACTATTATTGTATTATATGAGAGACAAAGTATATATATAAATATATATATATATATATATATATATATATATATATATATATATATATATATAGTGTTGTAGAATATATCGATGTGTTGAGAGGGAAATTGTACCGTAAAACCAGGAGGAAACCGCGGTTAAATAGGAAACCGCAAGGAAATTGATTATGCTCATAATCGAGGGTACTTAGAGAGCACACTGTATTTCACAAATTGTCCAGAAATCTCTAGACTTTTAGGCGATTAGAATGTATCTTATTGTGTTCCTTGTGCGAATTTCATGGCATGTTGTTTGAAGACGACATTGGTCTTAGCTTAGACTTTTGAGCAGGTTAGTGTCCCCTTTGCGAAATATCTAAATGAACCTTTTCTTCGTGTCTTCCATTTTAACTGAAACAATGGAAAATGGCGTAGCAATATACTGCGAGTGGCCATGCATGGTGACAAAATAAAGTCCCGTTAGCTAGTAGCCACAGGTACCTGGATTTGCTGTATTCATCAAATAAAACTATTTATTAGTCTGGATTAATGTGCGTATTGCATGTATTCAATATTGGTGTTTTTTCTGGTTTTACAGCTCCGAGAACTCAAACTTGAAAGATGCGTCCGTCCAAAAGATTGTCGAACGCAGCGTGCTGCAGACAAGGAAGTAGATGCGCATTTAGAAAGGTGAAAATCCAAACTTGTAGACTGGATCAGAGACTGGGATAGGGAGAAGCGATCTTAATGTATTCTAAAATACGGAAGTAGTTTTTACCTGTTAAATGTTTAGATATTAGACGCTGTTTGCAATTCAGTTTCTTTAAGCAAATCCTTTTTTGCCTAGTTGTTGCTTATTTAGTGATTTAAAGGATGGTGCAAATGTACATGTGGCATCTGTGGTGCTACTGTACCTACCGTATTTACTAAGAGAGTTCGTCCACTTTTCTTTCATTACAGGTGTCCGTTAGATATCTGTAGAGACCACTTGGAAAACAACCATTGGAGAAACAATGAAGTAAAGACAGATACATTCATTACTATTTGACACTGCTTTTAATTCATGGATTACATCAATACTTTTCAGTTTCGATCTATTGAATGTAATAAATAAATTCAGACTTCAAATCGCCTTTAATAAAGTTGGATGTTGATATCGATGTTAGTTTTGAGGGTCCTTTCCTTACTTATGTGAATCCTTTTTTATGTACAGACAAAGATGTGTCTGTACATATTGCCATCACCTGCGTTTGTTGTCGCCGTCGCTGTCGCCGTGCACTTTCAGCGTTAAACACACGATAAGTGGTAGACAGCTTTACTTTTTGGCTTTATATTTACAGAGCTGATGAATATTCATAAAACGCAGGTCAAGTTAAAAAAT